TACAACTTTAGGTGATAATAGTATGTCAGTGTAAGTTCATCAATTGTAACAAAGGTATCACTCTCATAGGGGTTGTTGATAATGAGGGAGGCTATGCATTTATGGGGGCAGGGACATATGGGAAATCTCTGTACTTTTCTCTCAATATTTCTGTGAACCAGAACTGCTCTAAAAAATAAATTCTATTAAGAAAACACACAAGATTGAAACAAAACAAACAAATATTAAGTAGAAGGCATACACATACACATAACTATTAAATCTATTAAGAAAGCCAAAAAAACAAAAACCCCACTTGCTTTGTTGAAACCCCCACTGTAGATTAAAAAATGATATTTAATTTCAAAATACATTAAAAACATGAGTAAGTGACAAATGGTAAGAGTCAATGATAAGAATAAGGGCCATAGAGTATAGATAAAAGGCAGAAGGGCAGGCCATGTACTTACAAAAAAAATTTCATAAAAATTCAGTCACCATTGAAGCTTGCAAGTTTTATGTATAATTTTGATGTATCTAGCATGGATGTAAACTTATGAAGTTAAGATGATCTTATCAGTAGAAAAAATATTCTAAACCAGCTTAGCCAAAAGAAGCATTTTGATTGCCTAATTTAACTTTGTAAAGGAGAAGTAAATCTTATAGCTGGTCTCTGTAAACCTCACAGCTGGAACATTCTAACAGCACCTTGCAGTTTCCAGTGATCAAAGTAAGTTACTTTATATACTAAACTAAGAATTTCATAATAGAAATAATGCAACACCAGGGGGTGTGGTTATCATGAAATAATTACACTCCTGGGAGATTACAGGCACAAGGCTGTACCCCAGGGGTGTGATTATCCCATGATAACCACATCCACTGAAATTGCTTTATTGCAAAAATAATCTCTATTCACTGGTGAGACATTATTCAATAGGTGATTTTTTTTTAAATGAAAAGATTTTTTTTTTTTAGCTTGAATCAGCAAGTGGATTAGGAAATTGGCCAGTTTGTTTTTCATTGCATTCAAATTCAGAATACAACATCATTATTATTTGCCTTCTAAGTTGATATAGTAGTTTTGATTTTTTTTTTTTTGAGAAAACTTTTAAGAGTTTCTGTTAGTGTTAGTTAAGTGGTACTGCTAAATTCAGGTCAAACTTTAAAGGTATTAACTGAACAATACAATTTTAAATAATTTATTTCTATGTATAATTTTAAATTCTTCTAAAATAATATTTGCTTAGAAATTATAAATGTATAACCACTGCTAATATTTTGGTCTATCTCCTTCCAGGGATTTTCCTAAAAGTATCTGTCTATATGTTTACCTAAAAGAAAAACAAATGGAACCCATAATATAACTTACTTTGTTTTATAATCAGCTTTTTTTCATTTGGCCAAATGTTATAAATAACATGCATATCATTAAGCAATCTTCATATCATTTTTAGTGGCTGCATAGTATAGTATAGTATTCCATTGCTGATATCCAATAATTATTCATTTAAATATCCTTTTTGAGAATCAGGGTCTCTCTCTCTCTCTTACTATTAGACACAATACTTTCCAACAACACCTTTGGACATATCCATGATTATGCCCTTGGGATAAATTAATTCATGACTATAATATTAGTAAAACTTAATTTAAACAAACAAAAAAAGGTACTGTTTCCCAAATCTTCAATTGTTCTTAATTACATACAGCTAAAGCTGACAGTTCTCAACCTTGACAATGCATCAGAAATAGATCAGTAACTTTCATCATCTTATATGGTATCATAGATGGTGAAAGTTACTGATATATTTTTACCATAATTTTATCACAGAATTCAGTGCTTTGATAAAATATAGGATTTAAGAAATTAAAAATAGCATGTATATTACCAGTATTTGTTCTCTTATACCCCACAGAGCAGTTAAGCAGCTTGCTTTAAAGTAACATGGCTATTAAATAAGCAGAACAGAGGTTCCAAATAAAGAATCTACTAGCTCCACAGCTCCACAGTCTATGCTCTTGGCCACTAAGTACACTACCTCTCTGAATTTATGGTTCCCTCAGTGTAGAAGGCTATTCCCTCTGCCTAAGATGCCATGTGCTCTTCTCTCAGATCTTGCATGGCTCAGTCTTTCCTGTCATTTAGAGCTCTCAGTGTAACATCAGTTCCTCAGAGAGGCCCTTCCTCAACACTTAAAAGTTATTCCCTGTTTAACTTAGTATCTGATTTAATTTTCAGCGTAGAATTTATAAATACCTAATATTTTCTTATTTATTAGTTTAGTATCATTCCCAATTAATGAAATTAAAGACCTTTTCTGTCTCGATATTGTGTTCCTAGAGCCTAGAAAAATGCCTGTCACAGAGTCAGTGTTCCATAAATGATTGCTGAATAACTGAGTTTATTTTACCAACTCCTTAATGATGGACATTTAGAGTTGTTTCTAATCTTTCACCACTATAAACCTTTGAGCGTCTACCTTATCACTTCCTTATTATAAATTCCTGGAAGCTGAATTTCTAGGTAAAAGGATATGCATGTTTTTAAGGCTTTTGATATATACTATGTAAAATGACTCTTCAGAAAGGGTACTCTAATTTATCAACAGTGGATTAAAATGTTCATTTACCATACTTGCTCTAACACTCAATGTACGGTTCTTTTAAATCTTTACAAAATTTGATAGGCAAAAAGATAATATATTACTTTAGCTTTCCTTTTTTGGGGGGGTGGTTATTGTTGAAATGTCATTGTTTTAATGGTCATTTGAATTACTTCTTATGCAAACACCTATATGTATGTCCTTTGCTCCTTTGATTTGTATGTTCATCTTTTTCATATTGACTTGAAAGAACATTTAGTATATTAGGGATATTAACTATAGTATTTTAATAAAGGTAATTCTTTTCACCCTCTACCACTCACTGCTCAATTTATTTAAAGAGAAAGAGTCACTAATTTGTAGACTTCTCAAGCATGGCGGTTCCAAATATGTTAAAACTTGACAGAAGTCAAAAACTTGAGCATTTTACTACTTCACTTTATTTTGAAAAAGTTCATTTGATTGAAAAATAGTACTACAGTTAAATCCCACCAGAAGTGGGGTCCAAAAATTTTGACTGCATAAAATGAATGACAGTTATTATAAGCTTAATGAATATAAATGGAGGATTGGAGAAGAGCCAATAACCAACTTCGATATTTGAATTCACTATTTTCGATATTCTTAAAGATAGGTAACTAAATAGCACAATTTCTTTTGGTGGTTGTTAGTAGACTTTCTAATATAGACTCAAAAGAAAGTAGGTCTAATCGATTACTAAATAAACGGCTACGTCTGGAGTCTATCCTAGTCATTCTCTAAGAAGTAGAATCAAAGTTGAGATGAGGCCAAAGAACAAAGACAGCTACTACTACCACTGCTCGCCCCTATCCAACACAGGAGTCATGACATAAGGGCGCAAGGTTGTAGTGAAAGAAAAGAAAGATGTAACCACTTCCAGAAAACAGAATGTATCTTTCAGATACATAACAACAGATCCCTGTAACTACCAAAATTAATGGTCAGAAATATTTGAGCCAATGGGTACTTCATATATGACCTACTCCACCTTCATTTTTTGAGGGGCTTTGTTTCTTTTGGGATCTCTCTCCCTTCTTTCACCAACTGGGTGGGGACAAGGAAGGAAAGAGCTAATTAATATGTGGGTTTGAAGATATCTGCATTGTGGCATCAGTGGGATGTTCATTTGTCAGAGATTGTCAGACCAAGTCTGTATCACTATTTTCTTACTACTGAGCAAATAGTTTTCCCTTAAAATATGGCTTCTTAAGCTTTTTTAGAGCAATAAGGATTGTTAAAAACTCAATTGTAATATTCTATCTATGTACTTCCTCTACCCATTCTGACTTCCATTAACACCATTAAAGAAACAGTGTCACCATGATAAGGAATCAAATTCCTAAACTCCAACCACTAGAACAGACATCTTGAATCCTATAGCCTGCATTTGGCTTGCTGGAAAGAAGCAGAATCTCTAGCTATAGAAAAGAAGCTAAAGGTCATATGCTGATTGAGGGTGAATCCTGGGCTCAGCGGTGGCAGCGGAAGCCAGAGGGAATCTAAAGAGGTGCATTAGAGGTCTAGATGAGCTGCGGATGGGGCTTCACACCCAAAGCATTTGATTCAATAGAGCAGCTCTGCCTTTATATGTTCGATATACTGGGTTTTAGAAAAGATTTCTTTAAAAAGGTTAACAATAAAAGAAAAAAGTTTTATAGCTTCTTATAAAATGCAGAAAATCTCATGTTATACTGTCATCCTTATTTTAAAATGGAGAGTTGAAGCTCACAAAAGTGAAATGACTTGCTTAAGATTATAGGGTTAAGCAGGTTATTTCTATGATAATTTATTATGAGTTATGGTGGGATAAGTGTGGCTGTCTTAATGTACTACATTAAGTTTCAATATCTTTTTATAAAAAGAATCCAAATGATACAAACCAAATTAGACCAGTTTTTGTTAAGTGGACAATAATATGCAGGAAGGTAAATAATTTTCAAGTAAAAATCAATTTTAACATAGTTAACATCCTTTAAAATCAGTTTTGATTTTATCTCTGAACTAAAAAGAGGTAACTGCTAAGGCTTCTAGTCCAGCCTACTTTATAACTCAGGAGGATATAAACAAGAGAAATAACCATTTCTCCCTTCAATTTTTAGGTTACTAACAATAAACTATGTTTAATATATCTTTTACTTGTAAAATCAAGTTCATGAGTCCTTGGCTAGAAACATTAAATTTAATATTAATATACAATGTTTTAAATTCAAAATATGATCAGAATTTCCCATTGATCATTGTATTTTTGAAATGTGCCTTAGTCCAAAAAACCCAACTCAATCCAAACCAAACCAAAATAAAATACTCAGAGAGATTAAAGAAAAATGTTATTTTATCTTTCCTATTTGTTCTTGATATAAAATCTAAAACAAACAAATCATGTCTAGTGCCTACCTGAGCCATCAGTGGGAACTGAGCTTGCATTGATTCCAGAAAGACCAAACAAAGGACATTCTCGATCTGTGTTGACATGACCCCATTTGTGACACTTAATGCACCTCACATTTCGAACCTGGGAAATAGTGAACATTATTTTGGTTATTAAAATACTAAGAATCTAACCAATGTTCAATTCTCTATACCTTGGTAGAGTTTAAGTTAAATTACTCTAGTTTTTGTTTAAAAGATCTTCAGAGAAGAGATGCCATAACTATATTTGATAATTTAATAGAAATACTAAAATCTTTCACTATAAATTCTGCCTAAAAGCTAAGCTAAATCCTACTTATTTTTAACTCTTACTTGGTGGTCATAAAACAATATTATCCAAAAAGAAATGGTAAAATACCAAAAAAGAATTATGTCATGGCTTAACCTTAGATTTCCCTCATTTTAATAAGTTAACATTTAAAGTTTCAATTTCCTGAACCAGAGTTTGGTGAACTTATTGTAAAGGGCCAGATGGTGAATATTTTAGGCTTTAGGGGCCAGAGGTCTCTGTTGCATCTACTCCAATCTGCCCATGTAGCAGGAAAGCAGCCACAGACAATATGTAAATGAGTAAGCATGGCAATGTTTCAAAAACTGTTATTTATAATAATGATTTAGCCCACTGGTGATGCTTTGTCCTGGTTCTAAACAAATATTTTACATCATTTCCTGATCTTGAGCTAATTCTCCAAATTCTTTCAAAACTGCAGAGACATTATTATTATAACCTTTACCACAAAACTTCGATTTCTATCTTTTATCAGTCTATTACATTCAATGTATTCTCCCCTAGTCCTTCTATTATCTGATACAAGTAGAAACCACAGAGCCCTTTTTCAGTTTAAATATCTTTTGGACAACAATATAAAGAAGTATTTAAATAAAAATTATTCTTACAGAGTAAAATAAATATCACTTGCCTGAATACCGAAGGGCTGATCTCTGATATTCATGTCATCTTTGGCATATCTATTAAGTAGAGGAAATGTACAAACATGATATTAAGAATAATTTAATAAATTAAGCAGAAGTTATTCTGAAAAAGTTTTATAGTTCTAAGTACATTACAAAATGTATTAGTGCAATAAATGAATAGAACTATAAAACCTGTTTCATATTTCCAAACACCACTTACTTATTAAGTGTTCAGCCTGATAATTTGTAATTTTAAAAAAATAAATAAAACTAGAGACTATGATCAAGCAAATTCGTTGCATAAGACAAATCAGTGAAAATATTTTTTCACATCAGATGCCTTCTCCAGCGAATGAAAAGGCAATGAAAGATGGAATATCAGATAAATTTAATGATATATATTTTATCCAAAAAGTAAATCAGTTCTTACTTTTCTCGTGGTGCTCCTTTCTGCCATTCAAATTTGTATTCAGTCTCTCCTTCTGCTTCTTCTTTCTAAAAACATTCATTAAAAAGTCTTTCAACTTTCCATAAAATTATAATCCATTGCAAGTAAATTCAAACACAGAAAATAGTACTTTACCTCTTTGTTTTCTTGATTGCATATCAAAAATATGAGGGGAAAAAAATGCAGACCAAGTTAAAAACTTACAACAAGTTTATCATACACTAATTATGGTATTTAATTATAATCTGTAAGAATTTATTGGTTTGACTTTTTTTCTTCTTTCACAAGATAAAATTAAAATCACTGAGGAATAAAATACAATATTAAATAAGAGCATTTAATATATTAATATCTAATTTTTTAACTTTTACATTTTTCACTGACAGTTAATATTATGCTACTTACATGTATATTCAGTAAGAAAGACAAAAATATATGCATACATTATAAAAGAATAAATGCACCTCTGCTGATGCTGAGATTTTTTTCTTCTCCAAAGGACAAGTCATGAAATATTAGTAGAGTAGACATGTAATTTTAATATTTATTCTACTGTACTGACTTCAATATTTAAAAAAATCATCTTTACAGAATAATAGCAATTTTAAAAGATGAGGAGCAACTTAAAAAAAATGTGTGTCATAAAAGTTCTCAAACTTTACTTGCAAACATACCACATACCAAAGACTTAAAAAAAAGAATGAGGTGAGTACCTTTTTTAGCTCCTGGTGGGGCTTCATACATGAAATTAAGGCCATTCTTTACACGTTCATCTCCCATAAGCAATCTAAATAAAATAAGACATAATGTTAATAATTTATTAATAGAATGTTAATAAAAACTCTAAAGAAATTAAGATAAAATATTTTTGTTAGAGATAAAAGTTCCAAAACTTTAATCATTAGATTACATCTGAAATAACAGTGAATCCATACTGATAGAAATAAATGATTAAACAAATAACTAAGTGATGGAAAGGGAAAATTCTTCTTTGCAGAGAAATTCAAATTAAAAAATGTAGAGAGAAAGAGAAATAGAAAATCATCATTAGAATACCACAGTAATAACTGATGCAAGTAAGATCTACCAATGAATGCCAAAATTATTAGGGAAAAGTTCCAGGGGAAACAAGATATTTGCATAGCTTCAAATATTTATTAATTACAAAGGGAAATAAGTAACTCTTTCTTTAAGATAAAGAATAAAAACACTGTGATCTGTTGCAAACCTATTTTTCCACCTCCACTAACTCTTCATCGGTCTAACTCAACTATTTGTTTCCTGAACACCCTCTCTACTTTTCCCAACGTGCTGATCTTTAATAAGCTTTTACTACATGTAAATCAGCATTTCTCAACAGTGGTGCTATTATTATTTTGGATTAGATCACTCTTTATTGTCTGGGGCTGTCTTGTGCATTGTAGGCTGTTTTTCAGCATCCCTAGTCTCTACCCTCTAGATGCTGGTAGTACTCAACCCCTATATTGTGACAATCAAAAACATGTCCAAACATTGCCACATGTTCCCTGGGGGTGGCGGGGTGGGGTGGGAATAATGTATCTCAGTTTAGTGCCACTAATCTATATCTTTATTCTTTTTAGTTCAGCTTAAATGTCACCTCTTTTCATGAAGTCTTACCTTATTATCCCAAATGGAATTATTCTTTCCTATGTTAGCATTCTATAGTTGTGTGTGTGTGTGTGTGTGTGTGTGTGTGTGTGTGTGTGTACACACATATATCACTTACTAGATTTTCTTGAGGGCAGAGAGAAACTACATATCACACTTTTATAGACCCCTATACCCTTTGTTGTCTTGCATAAAGTAGCTACTCAATAAAGGTTAACCAGATTAAAAAAATTAGTGAGAAAAATACTTAGCTGAACTAAAAGTTTTATTTCTTTAATTTTGCTCTCAATAGTCTATATTTTAAAGAGAGTACTTAGTAGTAATGGTTTAGTATTACTTTGCTTAAGTTCCATATTTTGATGAAAACCAGGACTGAGTGGAAGTGAGGATATGATCTATGTAACTAAAGCACAACTATTTACTTGATTAAACAAGAGAAACCAGCTCAGAGTTAGACTTGCAAATACACATATAAAATGACAACAGAAGCATCAACAGATAATTGGATAAAGAAGACGTGGTACATATATACAATGAGTTATTACTTGGCCATAAAAAAGGATGAAATCTTACCATTTGTGACAACATGGATAGACTCAGAGGTTATTATGCTGAGTGAGATAAGTAAGACAGAAAAACAAATACTGTATGATTTCACTTATATGTGAAAGCTAAAGAATAAAGTACACAAACAAAACAGAAACAGACTCATAGATACAGAGAACAAACTAATGGTTGCTAGATGGGAAAGGGGTTGGGAGGGGCTGGGTAAAAAACATAAAGAGATTAAGAAGTACAAATTGGTAGTTACAAAATAGTCATGGGGATGTAAAGTACAGCATAGGGAATATAGTCAATAATACTGTAATATCTATATATTGTGCCAGGTGAGGTGACCATTTCATAAATTATATAAATGTCTAACTACTACATTGTACACCTGAAACTAATATAAAATATCAAATGTCAACTGTAATTAAAAAATAAAATAAATGACAATAGTTAAAGGAAAGGTACTTTGCTGGAACAAACCAATGAAGAACTCTAGTTGGGATCTTATCATTAACAGAACAATCATATGCAGGTGAAGTAGAGACACTTTGCTTTACTTTTTGAAGCTGTCCTGTGCATCTTTTCATTTCAGGGTATTTTAACGAAATATTTTTGTGAGAGGTTTCAGTAGTTTGAGTGTACATTTTATTGTTCTTCTAAGCTCTGTCTAAATTGAGACTTACTCGTAAACTGTATATAGAGTTATATCAATCTCTATTTTATGTGAACTATGGGTAAGGTTTGAAAAGTAGCCATCTACAAATAGGAGAGTAAAGATAGTTCACAGGGAATAGAATCCTGTCAAAGAGACATTCAATTCAAAAAAGCTAATTTAATATGTGATTCGGTAAGGGATCATTCTCATGCAATTAATTACTTTAAAATCATCAGCATAGTGGAATTTCTTACCTATTATCATATGATTCTTGTTCTTTAAGATATTGTTGCATTAATTCTTCTTGTTTCTTCTTATCATATGATATTTTCTGTTCTGCCATCCATACCTAAAATAGTGATGTAAAAACTTAAATTAAACAAGAAGTTTGCTTTTCTTTTATAATAAAATATAAAATGCTATTGTATATAGTTTACAACAATCTATTTTGGTCATAATGACATCATCACATATAAGTCCTTAAGTCCAACTATTCAAAACAGCTAAACTTTCAAGCCAAAATGTCAAACTTGAG